GTTACCACTTTCACTTTCCGGAAACAGCCCCGCAACGTCAATGTCTATCCTCTCCCATTGGTGCACCAACATTGTACAATTTCAATGCGCCTCTACTACGAGTTTGAGGTCCCCTTATAGCCGCACAACTTGTACATTTGCGGCACCAGTCCTCGACATCGTCACGACAGTGGACCTAGTAAAACCGTTCTCGGATCTTCAGTAGAGTTCGTTTAACTCCCAGGTGGCCTCCTGAACAACCATTATGGCAGCAGCTTAATAAGCTTGAGCGCATTCAAAATTTATGTATTAGATTCATATTTGGGTTTCGCAAATATGGTCATATCTCTGAATTTCGCAAACAGCTCAAATGGCTCCCGATCCACCTTCGCAGGAATACTCACATTCTCTCTACTTTGTATAGCGTGCTGTTTAATCCTTCCACTCCTATGGCAGCAGCTGTACTTTAGCCTTAGAGACAACCATTTGCAACTGACAACTGTCTCCCCGGCTATTTTCCCATTTACGGCATAGGAATCAGCAAGACTTCATCCTGAATCAGCAAGCTGTCCCATTGGGTCCAATAGCTTTTCGTGGTCGAACTCATCGCTGAGACGTCGCTCCACTTGGGCTTAGGAGCACTGGCCTTCATCCATTCTAGAATCGGCTTGATGTCCGAATCTTCCTGCTGTGCATGTTGTAGGCTGTCTTTCCACTCATTGTTGAGCTGGTCTGTCCTGAGCATCTTCACAAATACCACTACCTTACCCTCTTGCCTGGTACAATGCTTGCAATCTTCAGGGCAAGGTTTTCTTGACAATGCATCTGCATTGCCATGAGATTTCCCGCTGCGAGGTTCGATCACAAAGTCGTATTCCTGCAGTAGTTCAATCCTTCTCGCAACTTGTCCTTCCGGATTTTTGCAAGCGTGTGTGTGTGTGAGTGTGTGTGTAAGAAAAAACACATTTACAGGTATTGCATTGCCAAATATTTTCGTGACATTTTTTTATAGATATTTTCAGATTATTAAATTTAATTATATAATGTACTCGTATTCGGATAAACATTTTTTTTTTCAACAAAAAAAAATGAGGGAAATATAAGGATGGTTGTCATTTGAATTCAATTTTACTTAGTAACTCATATAATTGTAACAGTAATTCACCATTCTAGATATTATATTTTTCGTGAATGGCACTAAAAATTAAATAAGTATTATAAAACACGCTCTCATCAACCGCATGTATTGTCCATCAGACTCGGTGTCCCGCTGTACCCTCATCGTTGCTGTACAAAAGTATATTCGTGTCCCAACTGTAAGGTGTTAAAACTGTGTATGTAAGGTGGTAATGTTGTTGGTTATCCAGGTGCTGGCCGCATCGGAGAGCGAGTGCGAGGAGGAGCGCGAGGCGGGCGCGGGGGGCGCGGGCGGGGCGGGCGGCGCGCGGCGCGGCGCGCCCAGCCTGGCGTCGCTGGCCGGCGCCGACGACGCGCTCTACCTCGAGCACCGCCGCCACCACAACAAGCACCCGCTCTTCAAGAAGTTCCGCTACTAGTGCATGCATCACCGCCGCCACGCCTCGTACGTAAGTGATTCTCCACCAAAATCTACGACTATTGTGTTTTTAACCGACTTCAAAAAGTTACTTGTCAACCATGTAGTACATTATTTCTATGGTTACTTATTAACTTAAATGATTTAGCAGATGCTTATAATGAAAGAGTACACGTATACTACAGTGGTATCATATATTATACCAGATATAACGATAACGAAAATAATTTTTATACAATAAATTCAATTATTGTAATATATTTTGTATTTTAAAATACATTTGCATGAATACAAGAATTTATTATGTAATATTATCTTTGTTATATTTTGCAGAAAGAAATTTTCATTCACCATAAGATAACAATAAAAATACTTAATTTGTTAATCATCCAATCAATTAAAAAGTAAAAACACTACAAATAATTTAAGAAAACAACTAAAAGGGCGCCTGTTTACGAGGGTGGATTGAAAAGTACTCGGCCTAACCAAGAAAGTAAACAAATACTAAATCAGTTATATTTTTATTTTTCTACATAATCACCATCAAGTTCAATACACTTTGGCCACCTCCCCTTCCAAGCATTTAGACCGTTGAAAAAAAATGATTCTTCCTTAGACTCAAAATATGCGTCTACAGCTGCTTTGACCTCGTCGTTTGTCGAAAATCTTTGACCTCCCAAGTGCTTTTTTAGGTTAGGGAACAGAAAGAAGTCTGATGGTGCCAGATCAGGTGAATACGGCGGATGCGGTAACAGTTCAAAGCCACAGTTGTGAATTTCAGCCATTGACTGTACTGACGTGTGAACACGGGCGTTATCTTGATGAAACAGGACTTTTCTTCTGAGCATTCCTCAACGTTTTTCTTTTATTTCCTCTCGAACGACGTAGTAAGGTGCAGTAGTAATCAGAGTTTATATTCTGACCCCTTTCAAGATAATCAATCATAATCACACCTTTCGAGTCCCAGAATACTGAAGCCATCACCTTATTTGCCGACAAAATCGACTTAGCCTTTTTAGGGGGTGGTGAACCAGGTCTTCTCCACTGTTTTGATTGTTGTTTTGTTTCCGGTGTACAGTAATGAACCCATGTTTCGTCCATAGTAACAAAACGATTCAAAAAATCATCTGCATCGGCTTCAAATAACTCCAAACAGTCGCGTGAAATAGTCAATCGCGTCCTTTTTTGTTCAACTGAAAGCAGTCGCGGAACCCACCTCGCAGACACCTTGTGGAAACCCAACTCGTTGACAATGATGTTTTGAGTTCGTTCATAAGAGATGCCTATAATCTCGGCTATCTCTCTAATTTTTAATCTGCGGTCTCCCATTATTAAATCAAGTACTTTTTTAATATTTTCGTCAGTAGTTGACGTCGAAGGCCTTCCAGAGCGGGGTTCATCTTTCACACTCTCTCTACCACGCTTAAATTCTGCTATCCATTTTTTGACGGATGAATATGACAGAGCACAATCGCCTAATGTACTGACCATGTCATCATGGATGGCTTTTGATGATAGCCCCTTCTTATGGAGGTACTTAATGACGGCACGCTGCTCGATTTGCTCCATTCGCGGAAATTATGTCCGATTACTTTGTTAATAAATTTATAAAATCACAACTAATTATCGCACACGTTTCGAACTTCACACAATGAACTAGTCTGAACTGAACTAAATAATGTGGATAGATTTGATTTTTAGAATTGAATGGATCTGTGTTAGGCCGAGTACTTTTCAATCCACCCTCGTACTTATTTACGTACGAATTACAAACCTCCCTTTGTAATTGTAGTCATAATCTAAAACATTATTGTCAAATTTTTTTCTTTGGATGTGTCATTGGAAAAGTAGTATTATTTATACATTTATAAATCCTTCAAGCTCAACAATACTATATAATTAACATGTCTTATCTTGAAATTCTATATATTACCAATCTCCAACCTTTATCAGGTAATATCCAGTCCCAAACTTGAAAGATCTCACATGACGATCATCATATTTGCAGCTTGTTTTTTCACGTCCTAATACAGAATACTTATATTGAATAGTAGAATAGGATGAGCACCATTTTCATACATGGCTCAGCTACACCGCAGCATATAATGATGGCTACAGCTCAATGGGTCCGCTCTACCAGGGAAAGAACCAAGCTCGCACATAATACCTACCAGTTTAAAATAACAGCACAATGCTGCTGTTTTTTATGGTAAGTGTACAGCCGAAGACCCTTTTTACTCGTACCCAGGCATTCAATCTTAATTCTCAAGGATAACAACGTATCTACATCTAATACTTAGTCAAAGATAGATATGGGCCGCAACATCTAAAAAAAATTTTTAATTGTCACGGCATTAACACTGCGCGAATTTCGATTGGTTCCATTATTTGCGCCTTAATGAAAGCTAATGGATTAAAATAAAATACGAGGGGCACACTGAAATAATCGGGAATAGAATATTTCGGATTGAGTTACAATAAAACCTTTTTTAGAATTTGAATACTGGCTTCTTAGAATCTTAGACATTCAAACAATAAAAAAAATGTTTAAAAACAAAAACTATGTTGGTTTAAAACTGACACGTCGTTAACAGAAATGGAGCTCACGCGTGAACATTTCCGTGCCATAATTTATCACAATTTTCGTCGCGACTTATCTCAAGATAAATGTCTCAGCGAACTTGTTTCGATTTATGATGTTGAAGCACCGAGTCAAACGACAATATACCGGTGGTATGCCGAGTTGCGACGCGGTCGTGTGTCTCTCAGCACTGTTTCTTCTGCAGGTCGACCAAGAACAGCAGTCACGCCTGAAAACATCGCAGCTGTGCGAACTATTATATTAGATGACCGTCACGTTACATACGAGCAGATTCGGGCTGTTATCAGTATCGGAATGACTGCAATTCAGTCGATATTACATAATGAGCTGTGTGTAAGAAAGCTAGTTTCCCACTGAGTTCCCCACAATTTGTCCGAAGAGCAAAAGGCGGCTCGTGTAGATTGGTGCCGGAATACTCTGCAACGCTTCAACAGAGGGAAGTCAAATGCCGTTTATAATATCGTCTCAGGTGACGAATCATGGATTTATTCATACGGACCTGAAAGAAAACATCAGTCAGCAGTTTGAGTCTTCGAAGACGAGGTCAAACCAACGAAAGTGGTTCGCTCCCGCAGCGTGTCAAAGAAAATGTTTGTCTCGAAAAGGGAGCATGTTGCTACAATTCCTTTACAGGAACGCAGAATGGTTACCGCTGAGTGGTATCTCACGGTTTGTTTGCCAGAAATGATAGCCGAACTCCGAAAAAATAACTCAAAACGTCGCATCATCTTACAACACGATAATGCGAGCTCCCATACGGCTCGGAAGACAAATGATTCTTTGAAGCAGGAAAACGTTGAGCTGATGAGCCATCCTCTATACAGTCCTGACCAGAGCCCAAACGATTTCTTTACATTCCCTAGAATGAAAGATTTACTACGCGGTCAACGGTTTGAAGACCCCGAAGCAGCTGTGGAAGCGTACAAATCAGCCATTTTGTCAACATCAACTTCAGACTGGAATTACTGTTTTAATGATTGGTATGCACGAATGGAAAAGTGCATTAAGTTGAACGGAGAATACTTCAAAAAACAATAAAATACAATTTAAGTATACCGTGCATGTGGTTTTTCTTATTCCCGATCATTTCAGTGTACCCCTCGTACACCTTAAATATTGTAGACAAAAATACCCAAAATATAGAGTAGACTACCCCAATATCAGTTCTAATTATAGAACATCAAAAACTTTTTGATTACCCCTCGTATTTGTATTATTTTTATATAAGATAGTGCAAAAACTTAAATAAAAAACAAATTATAAGCTGTCCTAAAAGTGAACCTTCTGATTTTTGTACTTGTAGTCTTAATTTTGGTAATCGGCATTTATCATTATCTATAAACAATAATAAGATCCTTTTCTTTTATCTAAACAAACCACCCATTTAATTAATGAGAATACCTGCGATGTTTCTTCTCCGGGCAGAGGAACCTTATTTCAAAACTGTAATAAATTAAAAAATATATGTTGAATATTGCCAAACGAAATTTTAATCTCTTATTATTAAAAATATCCTTACCCTTAATGTTAATTTAAGATTAGATTTCATACATTTCATACTTATTTCTTGTTTCAGGTTTCAACAACACCATTTCTATCATATTTTCTCATAAAGTATATGTGAAATAAAGTTATTTTTTTATTATTAACTTATTTTTATTTATTAACAAAACCTATTTTTTCCCTGTATTATATTATTTGTTAATAATGCTTATATCAACAATTCTATTTTTCTTTTAGTGATACAAAGAGTGAAAATAGTATTCCGGAGTGGGCGATTGTTGAACTGCAGGGTCTCATACAAATGAAAAAAGATTCAACATTTGGTCCCACTGTCATTGGGGACTTGCATTACTTTAACAGAAACAAACACCCTGTGCTTGTACTCGGTCATCATATATTGAATGGGAAGGAAGTTAAATTGGAACAACCCATGGCAGTCATCGAGAAAGTCAATATTGAAGGAAAGATGGAATATAAAGTGAAAGCTATTGTCAAAAAGAAATTGTTATTTAAGTCCAGACCAAAGCCAATAATATCTAATGTTTCTGAAAAAATTTGATTATTAAATAATATTATAACTGGAACCTATTTTTCATTAAACCCTGGAACTGTAAAACAATTCTTAACCAATAATTTTGTTAAAAGACAGAGTTTGATTGTTTGTTTCTAGTGATCCCTTTGGTAAATCAGATATTCTAATGATACAATATAAATTCAGCTATATTTATTTTACGTTTTATAAATAATGCTATAGACCAGATCTTACGGTCATATATGAAATTAAACACACCGGATGAAATTTGAAAAAATATTATCTTATTAAAAAATAATCATTTTAACTGTTTATTTTTGAAATTGTTTAATTCGAATTTATATCACTAAATTTAATGTTCTTGAACATTATATACAATGTTTTTATGTTTTTTATAAATTTTGTTGATAAGTTCGACACTGAAAAATACTCATTTGGGTTGAGCGCTGGTCTGATACAGGCATTGAAGTCTCTATATAGGGACTCTAGTGCTTGTGTCAGGATCAACGGGGCCTACTCGGACTGGTTTGACATCCATAAAGGTGTCAGACAAGGCTGTGTGGCTTCCCCGTGGTTGTTCAACCTATTTATGGACAGTTGTTTGGAAAATTTGAAAGTAGAAGAATGCGGGTTAAGAATGGGTGAGTTAACCGTCAAATGCCTTTTGTACGCCGATGATCAAGTCATACTTGCGTCGTCGGCAGCCGAGTTGCAAATGATGGTTACATTAATGAACAGGACATTAAAAGAAAAGGGAATGAAAGTGAACGCAAGTAAGACGAAAGTTATGGTTTTTGAAAGAGAAGAAAGTAAAACGATATATGAAATAAGAATAGAAGGGGAGTTGGTAGAGCAAGTAGATGAGTTTGTATATTTGGGATGTGTGTTTAGCAGGGATGGTAGATATGATAAGGATATAGAACGACGAGTGAATGCAGGAAATAGAGTGAATGGGGCTCTACACTCTATTGTGAAAAGTCAGAATGTGTCCAAAAAGACACGTATGGCAATTCACAATGCTGTGTTAGTACCTACTTTAATGTATGGTAGTGAAAGTTGGGTGTGGCACAAGAAGCATGAGAGTAGAATAAATGCTGTAGAAATGCGGTCACTAAGGAGTATGTTAGGGATGAAGCTGAATGACAGAGTGAGAAATTGTTTAATAAGAGAAGAGTGTGGTTTGCAAGATGATGTTGTGACCAGGCTTAAGAAAGGAATGCTTCGGTGGTTTGGCCATGTAGAAAGAATGAACGAGGAAAGAGTGACAAAGCAAATTTATGTTGCAGAGGTGAACGGCATAGTCGGGGAGGGTCGCCCTAGGCGAAAGTTTATCGACCAAATTGGCGATATATTAAAAATGGGCCAAATCAAGAGTACCTTTAACCGACGAGCGTGTATGCGTAGGTATATGGATGTGGAGGAAGCGAGAGAGGTGTGTCAGGATCGTGCCAAATGGAAGTCCATAATCTCTGCCTACCCCTCTGGGTGACAGGCGTGAGTGTTTATGTTATGTTATGTTATGAAAAATATTCTTATTAAATAATACGTCAAAATATTTTTTCGAAGTAAAAAAATATTCCGGTAATAAAGAAATACAATGCTTCACTAATCTTTTTGTTACAATAAGTGTTTATAATGCCTGATGAACCATTGTTGAAAAATATAGCTCTTACATTCAATACACTTAAATTGAAAGTAAAAATATTTTCATCTTGGTCAACTAGATTAGATTGCACTGCATTGCAGTCGATATAAAATCGTGACCAAGACTCGTGAAAACAACATATATTGAAACAAATTATTATTTAATAGAGATAAATATAGATCAAAGACTTAAATGTACAAGTCGCGGCACGTAAGTCTGGCGCTGAACGAAACGTGGACGGGACGCTCACGAATTGCGCGAATGCGCCTAGAGAGCCAATCAGCGCGTGCGAACGATATGCACGAGCCAATCAACGCGACTTATGCGCAATAACGGTTACCGCTAGACTTTCTTGCCGCTACTTATATAGTATATACTACTATACTAGCCAGGCAATTCAGAACAAAAACCGTGTCATAGCTGTGGATTGTGCAAGCACGCCGACTGGGCGGGTAGCACGGTAAATATGCTGCGCAGTTGTATTTTCATCTACGAGTTAACTGATTTTAGGCAAATACGAAATAAAGTTACATAATTATCTAAAACAAGATTCCAATAATTTTGACAAAGTACGCACATAAAAATGGTAGTTTTCTTAGTCACATTAAACAAAATCAGTGTGAGATTGTCGAAAACATCTTTCGCGGTTTACAAAATAAAGAACTAGTCTTTTCGGCCACTCGCAGTCGACTAAAGATATGTAGTAATGACTGTAACTTATTGTGCAATGTATTAGTACAGTAGAGCCCGTCTACTTGTATCAAAAATTGCCCGCTGATGGCCTGAACAAAACTGTAGAGTTAAGAATCGCGCGGTTCGCCTTGTACTGTTCGTGTGTATTCCTTTCTATTTATTGTCAATGGAAAATTAGATAAATACATTGTATGCCATTATAAATGATATGAGACTCCCGCTAAGAGACGCATTTTATATATAATTCCAAAACTATTATTTAAACAACGTTTGATGAAACGATTCGACCTTAAAGCTGAACGCGCATTTGTCCGCACCGTACGCGCCGAGTTTTACTGATGGTCTCGCACATTTGCCCGTACGCATCGTCCGCGCCGTAAGCAAATCTTTTGTATTGCCAACAAATTTTGTAGTTTTTTCCAATCACTGGTGTGAAACGGTACAGTGAAATTGATCGCTCGAAATCACTATGGAAAGAAATATAGTAATAGCCTGCTTATTGGCAGAGGAAGAAGAAAATAAAATTCGAAGAAAGAAGATTCTGGATTCATAATATTAATTTAAAAAGGCAATTGTATGGAGAATATGAAGGGTATATACTTTTAAAGACTTAATAGATGATGATGAACGATTTTTTTAGATATTTGCATTTAACATACAAGAAATTTCAAGAATTGCTACATATACTAAAACCATATCTTTCTATAGAAAACTCAAGATTTAGAGGGCCAATCGAACCAGAGAAAAAATTGTATGTTTGAGGTTGGGTTTTGGGATGGGGTTATTTTTTTTTGTTAGTTCCGTATTTAAATAATTTATCGCTAAGTATACATATTGATAATCAATGCAAAAAAAAATCAAATTATGTATAATTAATTACGAATGAATTAAGTTATAAAAATACAAAAATAATCATGTAAGTCGAAACCACCAGTTATAGTGGAAAATCCACTAAGTTGGCAACATTAGACAACACTGAGTATCAGCACTCGCCCCGTTATATGACGTCATCAGTATTCGTCCTTCGATATCGTATACCTAACGCATTTTATAAAATTCGGCGCGTACGGTGCGGGTGTAGTGTGCGAGGTTTCATATGATTTCATACAACGAATTCTAAAATTCGGCGCGTACGGCGGGGACAAATGTGCGTTCAGCTTAAGGCGTACTCTTATAACACCAATAAGAAAATTGCGATTACGTTGACAAGCGGCCGTCATTTACAGATAGTTTAATTTTATTTAAAAACATACCACAAAATTGATATTAATAACGGAAGAAAAAATAATATTAACTTTGTCTTTAATATCTCTGTAACTGCCACCGAATAGATGACATCTTTGTTTTTGTACAGTAAGTAATGTCGCCTTAATTTTTAGCGCACTAGTGGCGTTCAGCGTAACAACTAACAACGTGACTGTGACGTTATTTAGTGTGCATGCCGTATCGTCGGTGCGCGGTCGAAACGCGCGCGTTTTGCCCACAGCGCTGCTCAAACGCTTTACAAGTGGTAAAAATAAACATTTTGTACAACCGACTTCAAAATACCTAAATAAAATGGGAACATCATCAGTGTACTCGAAGTCAATACGAATCATTAAGGATAACTCAAAAACTACTGGTCAGCAGCTTTTAAATAAAGAATCATCAAATGAGAACCTCCTCGTTTATGAAGTCGGTTGAAAACGAGACTTACGCATTAGCGCCTGTGCCTCTTACTGCATGCGCGGTTACAAGCGTGACTATAAAACCAGCTTTAGTATGGAGCACGTAAATTATTGCTAACCTGTCTCCTTTGCGTGTTTGTAGTAAAATCTAGAATCTAAACTTAATACCTTTTACAAATATATTTTTTTCGTAATAAGTCGTCATACACGGTGAGATTAAAAGACTGAAATGTAAATAATATTTTTGAAACATATCAATAATATGTATTATGTAATTTAGTCAATAATAATAATTATAATAATAAATGCTTTATTTCTCCAATAACTTTTTACAAATAAATGTGAATTCCCTGGCTCCTAATGTAGGTGAACCCGTATCTCAGCAGCCAGTGTCTTGAATATTAAATATTTTAAATATATCGAACTTTAACATTCCTATCTAAATTACGACACCACGTTTGTAAGGATGTATCCTTAGATCAACAAAGAAAAAAAGACGGAGCGCTGTGTACAAAAAAGTGATGCAAATAAACCATGCTCAACTTATTCATAAGACCACGCACTCACGCAACCAGCAACTTGAGTTTACGTGCATGTAAACTATTTTATGTTAAACTAGCGTATTAATCCAGCAGTACACACTTTTACGGGGTTATAAAAAAAGAAAGAAGAAAGATGTGTGCGTGAGTACGTATCAAGATGTTGAACATGGTTTCGCCATCATTTGGAATTCACGCAGAGCTCCGTCTCTTTTTGTTAGCAGATCACGTGTCGGGTGTACCTTAAAAAGCTAATAATTTTATAATAACAATATTCTACGTTGGTTCTTTTGTTTACAATTATCAAAAGTAAAAATTGTTATTAGTTATTCGGAAATGAAAATAACTGAAATTATGTAATTATTACGAAAGGCACTTTATTTTTCAAGAAAAAGAAAAAATAAATTATTGCTATACTTATATGTATAATAACTAATCGCATAACTAAATAAAACGTTATCTGTTATAAAGAAAGTTCTTAATAATGTTAAATATAAAGACGGCGACAATTTTGTACACGAAGGGAATGAATTGCACCTACACGTCTACAATGATCATTGTGTCAACTAGAGCAACCATGCAACGTTCCTTAATCAGTGTCGTTAACTTTCAATGCAGAACTTTGGCTGAAAATATACACTAATTTCTCTAAATTATAATATAAACTCGTAAACATAAACATTAAAACAAACACATAAAGAATTTCATCTACAACATAACATGATAATCTAAGGCCTTAATTCTAACAAATCCCAGTTCCAACATTAAAACTGCTTCCAACTTATTCATTAATATTACTTAGCTCTTCTCTGTATTTTCAACAAACCAAGAAATTAAGTATTATCTTGCAAAAGGGCCGATCATTAGGCAATTGACAGATGAACACTTTTGCATCCGAGTACATAATACGAACGTAGTTCAAATTAAATGCATAAATCAATCATAATAAACGTTAGTACAAGAACTTGGCTTTTAAATTTAAAACTTACATTTGAAAACAATCAATAGGTTTATGATTAAAAAAAATTCATCTATTTTACTTTTAAATACCCTCAAATTTTTTCAGTAACATTGTCCGATTAGTCTGTAATATATTATAAAGCGATCCTTTGAACATAGTATGCGAGTCAATATCAGTGTGGAATTTATCAAACACAATGCCACGTTAGCACATATTACAATCTAATTAAATTAATTTAATGAGAAGATGAAATTAATATGATTACTTTTTCGAAATTTATATTCACAATAACGTATGTATTTGAATATATTTATCATAACGGTATAAAATACGGTCTCAATCCCACAACATATTTTATATATTTTCAAATAATTCTCCTAATGTTAGGTTAAAACAAACACACCGTAATATTCAATAGGAAAATCACTGTGTTGGAGTGTGATATTGAAAAATATGAAAGATTTCGCAATAATTATGCTTAGTTTTTATCAAGCAGGTATTCTTCATACATATAGAATTACTGCTAGATTATTAGCTAAGTAAATCTAACAATCAGTGTGCAAAATTAATAGAAATTAGGAAGTAGTTACATAAAACACGCAAGGTGAAAGCAGCAAGAATCAGAAAACGTAAAAATGTCAATATAAAATAAAGTACATTTTATGCTCGCATATAAAACCTTACCATAGAATGTATTCCTTCTTAAAATTATAAATTTATTTCCAATACAATTGTTAACCAATCGGTACATTATTAAAAGGAATAGTTTGCTTTATACATTACTGAACCAATCCATATTTAACACAGGACACACATGCATAACAATCACTAAGTTCTCTTTAACCTATTCTCTTAGCTCTTAGTTTTATTCTAATTAACAATTATTTAAAATATACGCAAATATTGGTTAGTGTATAATGTTGAAACTTGTAAAAACGTTAAGTGATTGTGATATAAGTGATCACTCGGTTTATTACCCTTCTTAATGTAGCCACAAGTGATAAATAATAGAAGTATATTCTTTTGATAGAGGTTGGATAAATAAAATAAAGATATGCAGTGGCATATAAAGATTAAATCAAATTGCTTGAATGTAAATTAGATTCTCTAAGGCCAATTGCTACAAACAAGGTTACACATATATAACGTTTGAAATTATAATGCTTAAAGATAATCAATATGAATAAATAATAAAGCGTGCAACGTGCAGAGGAAAGCTTTGACATACAGAAATAAAACAGTTGAGGAAATGTGTAAAACATTGTGTAATGTGGTTCTCAATACAAACTATATCATCGACAGCGTATCTAATAACTTGTGACCAAGTTAAAGACAGGTGGAACAAATCTAAAAATAGACACTTCACAAATTAAAATTAAGTAATCGAGAATATAGATTTCTACAGAACTAGATTTGCTAAAACGTCCGCATTAGTATGGCCATGGCCATGAATGGTGATTTATACGGGGTCTTGATCAGCTCGAAGCAACTCCTGGCCTTCAACAGAAGTCCAATAGTCGACTAACAAATCTCGCTCAGTCTCGAGACAGGACAGGAATGTCGACAGGGATTCACCACTCTTTCTGATACCCAGCAATTGCTTCTTCAACAGAATGTTCTGTAAATAATTTAAAAAAAAACTCACTATGTATAGGAATTTTTAATGTAAGTAATCTTGTGATTTGTCATGTTAACGAACGATTATTAAACGAATTTTGTTCCTAATCGTCATTTGCAAAAGTCCATGCAGAATAAGGCCGCGTTCCGATGTCATGCACCCACTTCGCGCACGCCACGCGCGTTAGCACCCCCGTCTAACTAGCTTTGAAATTTGTTGCATATAATTTGAGTTTTATGTCAATAAATCTAAAATTGCATTTATCGACGTTCAACCGCACACGCCACGCGCCCGCCTCGTTCCCGCTCCGCGCCGGCCCCGCGCTCGCCCCGCACACGCTCTGCACCCGCCGCGCTACGCCCTACGCCCGCGCTTTTTATACAATTGCAGATTTATTGATTTGTCATAAGACTCAAATTATATGCAACAAATTTCAAAGCGAGTTAGACGGGGGTGCTGACGCGCGTGGCGTGCGCGTAGCGGGTGCGTGTCGTCGGAACGCGGCCTAAGCAGAAAATATGTCTGTAACTATATTGTAGTAATAGAAATGTTTTGAACCTAAAGCTGTTTGTGTTAAGGTTTATATTATTGTTGATGATTATGTATCTATGAATGTGTAAGTGAATGATAGACGGACAAAAACTTTAAAAATGGTCATTCACGTCTTAACTGCATGCAAATAACAGTCTCAGCTCGATATATTAAGGTAGTTATTTCGATATTACAGATAGATACTTCAATTTTATTTATATGTATAGATGAAAGTAACATTTACTTGGTATTTAGATTATATTTGTTAATTTATTGTAATTTGGAGAAAAGATAATAACCGTTAGAAACATAATAAATAATAATTACAGAAATGTTTTAATATTATTTTTTTCATTTTCATGAATTAAAATTGTTATGTAATTATCTAAGTTATGATAAAAACATAAATCAAATTCAGCAGAACTGCCAAACACATTGTTACTTTTAAGGATTTCTACTAGGTCCATTATATTATTAACTAATTTCTTTTTTGGGCATGTATAAACCTAATAATATATAAAATCGTAAATGGAACTATTCTAATTCTGTGTATAGAAAATACACGCAAACAAAATAAAACTAAGACACTGTGTTTTAGTAAGTACTATCTTATCGATTTAGGTCGCGCTCTTTTGAACTGCCGTTTATAAGCATAATTATTACCAGTACGCTCCGATTATTCATGTGGACTTTTCGCGTATTACTTGTTATAATTCTATATAATTTTATTGCTTGTGACGATAGCGACGAACCCGTATTATATTATTATGGCTTAGTAAGTTTTAACATTTTAACTTTCTAGATACTCAATATATTTTATTTTAGAATGACTTCAGCATCAGTAAGGAGATAAATATTGTTTTTTATTACAATAAATAAAGCGTCATAAATCCGGTTTAACTGTGAGCACAAGGGTTTCAATGCACCCATCGTGGGTTCAGGAATATTGAGAGCATCATATAAATTTCCAATACTTGCTAAAACCTAACATTTGTAAAGCACAAAATATTTTTGGTACTAAGACTGTTATTGACACTGAATTGGGGTATTAAGGCAGCATTAAAACTGCATTCACAATTTAAATTGTAGATCATTACGCTTTACACATGAAAAAAATATATCTGAATTAATTAAAAAAGTGAGCTGGTTCCTCAATCCTCTACAAATTTAACTTTTTATTAGGTTAAATATATTATTTCGCTTTATTATTACATTGGCTAAAATTTGCAAGAAGTAAATTTGAATTGCAAGCCTAAGATTATCGACCAAATTAGCGATATAATATTGATCATAGGCCACATTAAGAATACCTCTAACAGATAAGCTAAAGCTCTAACAGATGTAAACATACAGGTATGAAGGTGGAGCGAGAGGTGTATCAGATCGGTGCCAAACAGGAGTGAGTTTAGTTTAAATCATCATTTAAATAACTTCGATCAGTGCAATACAATTATTTGTTCACATAAAAAGTTATCAATATTATCTGTAAGTGTGGCAAAAGTAAGTTGCGTCTCTATCATTAAATCAAACTAAAAACTTAAATCAGCTTCGCTACCGTCACTCATAATACATTAAATTTATAAATGGGGAACATTTATTTTAATTTTAATGTATTTTCGAGGCGACAGCTTCTGTCCATGTGACTTATTTTCGACTCTTGGGGGATAATTTCCGTTCAGTCGACTTACTTATAATGCAGAAAATATTATAGTGTATGCACAGGGACATTTGCCTGCTCTCAGATTGCATGTATCATAAGGGCTCCGGCTGAGAAGGTTAATTTCTATGGTTGAAAAAGTCAATGTCTAATGATATCAAAAGCAACAACACAAGTAGTACACCCCATTGGGTGTCTCATTAGATTTCATTACAACTTCAAACGAACAAAGTAGAAAGACTTTCCTAACATCATTCACCATTAGTGTCAAACATATCGTAAGTAAATAATAAAGTAAATGTTTGTGATGCTACGATAATGATGATTTCCGTGCCAATTTAGACTACTGTAGAGCTTTCAACTACTCAGTGGGTACTAATTTGGCAGAAAATTAAGTATAGGCGTAAACACAGACATACTCACTTACTCGTACCCTAACCATACGTACCCAATAAGTAAGTAATATGCGTTAAGATTAGAAGTAAGCTAGAGTGCAGTGCCAGAAACACGAGGACAATGGCGACATGTATTGAATAGCAGTTTAATACTGCTGTGTTTCGTATGGTCAGTGTAGAGAACCGGGAACCCTTTTTGTTGGAAATGAGGTATTCCATCTCAGGGGTGACAACGCAACGGCATTTTGACTCTTAATTGAGGATAAATGTAGATGTCTATGGGCCACAGCAACCACTTACCGTCAGGTGGACTGTGTGCTCGTTTGTTACTCCATTCTCTAAAAAAAAGTCATCAGGGATGACATCGCATCTGTGGCCATTTGATATTGGTGGGGTATCACATTAACTACAGCAGCCAATTATCATGAAGTGGAATGTTAGCTCATTTGACACTCAAATACATTTACATAACATTATATGCCTCATTATATGTCCTTAGGTGTGACAAACATTTTGATTATTAATGAAATATAAATGAAGGTGTTTATTATGAGCTACACATTCGCTCATTGCCAGATGGACTGTGTACTTATTTTGTCATACATACTTCTCTAAAAAAATTATTACTACTAATAATAGATAGCTCTAAAAATAAAAAGAATAAATACTAAATCTAGAAAGTGAAGCAAAAATATAAAACTGTAACATATTTAAATTGACAAAAGCATTTAATTTCAATAAAACTAAAAGGCTTTTTGTATTGTAAGCTCTAAAAAAAAGATGCATTTACGTATTTTTTTAAGACAGGACGATAGTATCCCTTCAAAAGTCAATTATATTGTAAATTTAGTGGTTATCGATAACCAGTGAATTAGGATAATTTGAAAGGACAAACAGAAAGTATGTTCTGCAGGAGGAAAGCGAGCGCAGTCTGTCCGAGTGCGGCGCGCGTGCGGCGTGCGCGGCGCTGCTGCTGCGCGCGTGGCGCGCGCCCGCGCTCGTGCGCCTGTGCCGCTGCGCGCGCCGCACGCGCTGCGACACGCGCGCGCCGCCCGACCGACTGCTCGACCTCAATAACCGAGCTTATTTCCAGGTTCACTTCACGTTCCTATTTACTTTTACACCTCCCACCACTCTCTATCTTTCATGTTGTATGCTTCCTTAATGTTATGCCGAACGGAAGGTAATGACAAACCCTCAGTACTTGAATAAACCCACAACCGAAAGTTGACTGCTTACGGGTAGCTCATGATGATGAGTTTTATATAAACTCACTAGTGTCGAGAGTTTATTTCAATTATTTCCATAGCATAATGTCTTATGGGATTTTGTTATAGGAAAATGCGGCTGACTTAGAAACTATTTTTGTTTCGCAGAAGAGGGCCACAAGAGCTATTTACAATCTAAAATCGCGAGTCTGTCGGAGAAAAATTAGATTAAATAATAATATTAATTTTGTAAAGAAAGTCCCGCTGGGTTTCTTGTTTGTTCTTCACAGAACAAGGGTTTTATCCGAACCAGTGATAAATTTAAAAACATGACTTTCAGTAAGAATTACATGTAATCTAAATTGAATAAAAAAAATCCTTAAAGCTAAATAATTACGATAATATCTTTAAAGGGAAAGTACTTGTTTAAATTATTGTAATAACATTAATAAACAAGATTGTCCTGCAGTTTTTTTCATGCTATTTTCAAATTCTTGATTAATTATAAAATTCCTTAATATTTAATTCAAAAATAAATGCTAAAAAAGGCAGTATAGTATTATGAAAAAAAAAAAAGCGCATACCTAAATAAATATTGTAATAAACAATGGTAATTCAATAATTAAAAATACCTTTTGATAATTAGGACATTAAAGTTCATTACATAGCATTTCTAAAACATTGAATGAATTCAACCTACTTGATTTATAATAAGGAACTAATAGTTTCTAACACTTTCAGTTTTGCACGCCAATCACTAATTGGCCGGAATGCTCTTTCTCGGACACGGCACTCAGTGTGGAGACGCTTTACGAACGCATGAACCCCGACGACCTGGAGGACGCGCATCACAAAAATGTCCAACTTACGCCGCCGAAGGTCGTCTTAAACTGCCGATGTCGGTACCCATACTACTGGCGTTTAAACTCTACAACCCAAACAGACACAACTTACACCTATCAGTGTGGATCTTTGCCTCTTTGTAAAACAGGGGACTTTTGTGGCAACGTCAATTATGATTTGAACGCCTTATACCAGTCTTGCTTATGCCCAAGGAACCACATATGCGTTCACAATGGCGGCATCACACATTATTACATATCCGAGCTATTGTACCGCGGCAAAGGATGGAAAGCTTACTGTCAGCCACTGAATGATGACTATAGCTACGATGACTATTAACAGTATCCTTGACTGGGAGTGAGTTTA